TTTGCTTTTTGGTATATAGAGAGATTGTTGTGTTTTGTGGGGGATTTTTGGAGGGAGGGAAAGAAAGAGAGGAGTAAAGTGAAGGAAGGGAGGAGGAAGGATCTGTAGAATAAATTGTCCTGTGGGGAGAAGAAATGAAAGGAAATAGGAAGGATAGTTGGAAGGTTCATATTTTTTTTTTAATTTAAAAGAAAAATGAATGAAAAAGGATTGTTTTTGTTTTGGGGCACTAATTCATCACTAATCTGGGGTGCTGACGTAAAGAAGGTGACGCGAATTTGGGTAGCGTCAGCATGATTGCATGGCAGAGAGCGAGAGAGTAATCTCCATCTCCAATGGCCTAGGCTACTTTCTTGCCACTTGCCCACTTCCCTCTTTCTAGAAATAAAAAGAATTCCATAAATAATTATATTCCCCCCCCCCCCCCCCCCCCCCCCCCCCCCCCCCCCCCCCCCCCCCCCCCCCCCCCCCCCCCCCCAAAATTGTAATTATGTCATTAATTAATCATTAGTCAAATGTATAGGCTTCTGGTTCTTGATCATGGATATGCGTTATAATTAGGCAATTATTTTGGAGGGATTCGATCGAACTTAACCAATAACAATAATTAACAACTAAAGAGGTGATTTGGAGACGTGGGGAGTTTGTTGATTATGGACGATGGGGTTTAATTAACTAGTTTCTTTTGTGATTAGCACTTTTTCTCCATTTATTTAATTTATCATGGTTAACTTTATTTGAATATTATACTGTGGTTCGTTTGGGAATCAACGAGCTATGCTGATCCTGGTCAGACCTCTTATTAAACAAGAACTTCAAACCAAACCTTTTGTTAATTCCTTATTCCAGTTCCCAGCAATATTATTAATGTTATTTTGAAGTGATCATGCCTCGTTGATGCTTTTAATTTGCTTGTAATTTTGGTGTTTAAATGCGTTGAAGAACATGTTAATGTAATTAGAATCTCCTTAATGAGACGTTCGATCGAACGAATATTTGTGACATATGGGTAAGAAAATTTGTTTTAATTCTCAATATATATAGGAGCATTATTTTTCCTGAGAGTTTCATGTCTGCTCGAATTTTTTTCTTTTGGAGAGGATCTCAAAACTCATTAATATTATGTTTATGTCATACTCCTAATTAGTCAGGTACCATAACTTATCTGCGCATAAATCCGTACTTTAAACGTTTTGCTAATGTAATAGACCTGCAAAGTTACGATAAATAAGGGCGACACCCTAGCTAAAATGTTTGGTTATATATTTTGCATGTCGAATATATTAGTCATGCCACACTTTCCAAAACAAGTCCCATCTAAATTTATCCAAGATAGGCATAAACATACATGCAAATTAATTTGATTTCTCATGAAAGTAACATAATAAATATGAATGGTCGTTTCTAGGGATGGCATATCAGAACGCGCGGGCCGGTACCCGCCCGAAAACCGGCTGGGCGGACCAGTTTTTACCCGGAGTTGACGGTGATTTAACGGATTCGGGGAAACCCGTTGTTCGTGGATAACGGACATCGGGCGGTGACGGAGTCCAGGCTATCTGCCCCGAGCCCGCCCCGAGCCATAAAAACGATGTCGTATTATGAGCATATATATATCCATCAGTCGAGCAGAGAAACCCTAATCCCTAATTGGAAAATCGCCGCTCTCTCACTCTCTCTTCTCTAGTTCTCTTCTCAGTTCTCTGCTCTCAATCGCCGCTCAAATCCATCGATTCGATTCCCCCCCCCCCCCCCCCCTCGCGAAATTCTCTCCACCCAGGCTGTCAGTCATTCATTATCCACCAATCAAAGCCTAATATCCTCATCTATTTAGGCAAGAACAACATGCAAAAGGAGAAGAATCAGAAGATGACTGTTCCAATCTCCGATTCGAGGTTATTGGGAGGATTTTGTCGTCGATTATTGTTCCGATAATCCAGAACTCGAGATAAGTACCTTCCAATTCAATTCTTCTTTCTTGTTTAAGTTTCTTGCTTCTAGTTTTAGGTTCGTTTAAATTAACTCGAGTCGATTGGTTCTTTTCTAGGGCTCTTCTGTTTCATCCTTCATTTGCACGTGGGGACTGCATGCATGCTCTGATACTCGAGGTAATCCCTAATCAAATTTCCTTAGTCAGTTACTCAGTTAGTGTTTAGTAATTAATAGTTTGTTGTATTGACTTTGACTCATTGGATTGTAATGTTTGTACTTTTGTTTGAGTTTTTGCAGTTTTGTATCAGGCATCAGTTCACCATCCACAACTCTGGACAATAGACCCCCTCTGTCCAGATTCGAGGTTAGTTAAAGAATTAAGGACATTTTACTTAATTTGGTTTGCATGTATTAGGAATTAGGGACTCGAGTTTCTGTTGATTGCTTGGGTATTGGGTCTGCTCATGAATCATGTCTTGTTTAGTATAAGTGTCTCATCTGCATGTTACAATTGAATCTAAAAGACTATAAATTTGAACCTAGAAATCTTATATCTAAAGCCTAAAAAGTAACCAAGCAATCCTTTGATGTTTATACTCGTTTATCTCAATGTCATATGGAAGGTGCACCTGAAAATGTTGTCAATGCTCCTGTTCCTCCACAACCTGCCCCTGTTGATCAAAACAACCAACCAGAACAAGTTGGTAATGGTAACGGTAACTTGGCTAATGAAAATTCTGAAGTGCTTGTTGAAGAATGCAAATTGACTTCTGATGTATGGCCTCATTACATTAGGGTTAAGGTTAATGGGGTTATTAAAGCTAAGTGCAAGTACTTTCGAAAAAACCTTGGTGGTGATACTCGTAATGGAACCTCGTACCTTAGGACTCATGTGAAAACCTGTATCCAAAAAAGGATACATGATGGTGCTCAAAAAATTATTTGCCCTAATTACAAAGCAACTGGAAAACCCCAATTATCTGCTACACAGTTCAACTCTGATGTGTCTAGGAAGGAGCTGAGCTCAATGATTTTGGTCCATGAGTACCCTCTTAGCATTGTTGAACACTTGGGTTTCAAGCGTTTCTGTTGTTCTTTGCAACCACAGTTTACTGTGCCTTGTAGAAATACTGTGAAGAAAGATATCTTGTCTTTGTATGGGGTTGAAAGGAGTAACTACCAAAAGGTTATTGATGGTAATTTGGGTAGAATTGCTGTGAGCCTGTGACCACTGATTTATGGACTGCCCCAAACCAGAAGAGGGGTTATATGGCAGTCACAGCTCACTTTATTGATAATACTTGGAAGCTAAGAAACTCAATGCTAAAGTTTTTGTATGTCCCTGCCCCTCATACGAGTGAGAGGCTTGCAAGAAAACTGTTTCAATGTCTTCTGAATTGGAACATTGATGGAAAGTTGTATGCAATCACCTTGGACAACTGCTCCACTAATGATTCCATGATTGCTCACCTTAAGAATAAACTTGTTTTGAATAACTTGTTGATGGATGGTAGACTGATTCATATGAGGTGTTCTGCTCATATACTGAACCTTATTGTGAAAGATGGTTTGGATGTGATAAAGGATGGAATCCATTTGATTAGGGAGAGTGTGGTGTATGGACATCCACACCTAAGAGGGTCCAGACTTTCAATGAAGCTGTTTAAACAGCTTAAGTTGGCTTGTTGGGAAAAAACTTGTGCTTGATTGTCCAACAAGGTGGAATTCTACCTATGATATGCTCTCTATTGCTCTTCTGTACAAAGATGTCTTTTTTCGTTTAAGACAGATGGATAGTCAATACACATCAGCTCCTACTAATGAGCACTGATATTTTGCTGCTATTGTGATTGATAAACTGCTCATTTTCAGTGAGATGACTGCATTATTTTCTGGTACCAAGTACCCCACTGCCAATCTGTTTTTCTCTAAGGTCTGTGATCTACGATTGAAATTGAGTGACTGGTGTGCTGATCTTAATCCCATTATTTCTGCCATGGCTGGAAATATGTGGTTGAAAGTCACAAAGTATTGGGATGATATACATCTTGTTCTGGCAGTTTCAGTGGTTCTGGATCCTAGGTACAAAATGCATGTCATTGAGTATTATGCTGCTAAGTTTGGCAGCTCTGATACTTACTTGGTGGCTAAGGATCTATAACAGCTGATTTGTGGTTTGATTAATGATTATCAAACCAAGGCTGAAAAGAAATCTGGTTCTTCTGCCAATGAACCGATTGGAAATGCAAATGCCTCTGTTTCAGCAACTGATCTTGATTTCGAGTTGTTTGTTAGTCAGAGGAAAAAGAGCAAAACAACTCTGATTACTACTAAGTTGGACCATTATCTTGCTGAGGAACTTATTCCTCGTGATCCATCTGCTGAATTTGATCTCTTGATGTGGTGGAAGTTGAATGACCTTAAGTATCCTACTTTGCAAGCAATTGCAAGGGACTTTTTGGCTATACCAATAACATCAGTTGCTTCCGAGAGTGCTTTCAGCTCTAGTGGGAGGTTGTTAGACCCCCACAGGAGCAGGCTCGACTATTCTACTGTGGAGGCTATGTTGTGCAGTCGTAGCTGGGTTAGGGAAGCCTGGCTAAGGGGTAACCTGCAATACCTTCGAGTTTAGTCTTAGTAGTAGCTTTTGGTTCATTTAAACAAGTGACTGAGTGAGTTTGTTCTATTTCTGCAGAATCAGAGGCTGCTGCTGCTGTGGAGGCAATGGATGGACTGTTTACTGGGTTGTCAGTTCACGATTCAAGTGTAGAAGATCAGGAAAATGAGGGTAAGTTAGTTGGTTTTTAGTTTTTAGTTGGTAAGTTATGATTTATGAACTGCATAAGTGAACAAAGTTTTTTTTTTTATATTGATTGGAGTCCAGGAACTTCTGAATCTGGATTCACCATTCTCCTTTGATGACTGATTATTGGAACCTCAGAAGAGAAGGTATATAATACATTCAAACTGACTTTTCTCCTTTATTGTAAGCTTGTATATGTTCCTTCATATTTTTGTTTTCTTGCAGGGAATGAATGTCAATTTGTCATGTGCTGCTTGACTGCTTCTGTTCTTCAAATCTGGTTGCTGCCTTGCTGGTGCCTTTGAGAGTTTGGCTTACTGCCTTTAAGAGTTTGAGTTTGAGTGTGCTTTATTTGTTCCAAATTTGAACAATGGATTGGTGTGTGGCTTACTGCCTTTGAGAGTTTGAGTTTGAGAGTGCTTTACTTGTTTTTTCTTTGCTACTTATGACTATTAGACAGTTGATGAACTCATGAACAATTGAGGAACTCTTGAAAATTCAGAGTTCTGGGTAGTGGGTGGGTTGCAGCCTTATAGGCTTTATGTTAAGCTGCTTTTGATGGTGCTCAACTTTGAATTTGAACTGAATTATGTTTTTTCCAGTTATTTTATTGTTTGAATATGTTAATTATTTAGGGTTTGTAACGGGTAACGGGGACCCGTGAATTCTCCGAATCCGTTGCTTCACGGTGACGGTAGCAAATTTGGCCCCGTTGAATGGCCGGGGACGGGGTTGGGGAAACCCGACACTGTTCACGGACGGGGAACGGATGGTATGAATCCGTCCCCGATCCGCCCCGTTGCCAACCCTAGTCGTTTCCCGTATGTGCTGCCTGGTTATCCTTTTATTTTGGCAAATTATGTGTTGTCTCTTAGTACACTGAAGAGACAAAATTATTATAACGAATTTATTAGTATATCTTTACTACTTGATTACTTAAACAAATATGTTCAAAGTGTTATTGATAGATCTTATCAACCAAATCCCTTAATTGGTACGTAGTCAAGGAGTCACACTAGTACTGGTCCTAATAAGAGATTGAGAAATGATTGTTTTTTGCCGGACGGCAAAAGATAGGACTAATAATGTTTAGTTTTAGTTTGGCCATCTAATCTAGAATATAATGCCATGACAAATGATTAGTCAAAAGGAAGGAAATTCAACCAATTTCCCCCCTTGATTTGGATTAATTAACTCCATCAATACTAACGAAAGGAGTATTATGATTCATTGTAGATTGTCGTTTCCGTTTTAATTATGGTTGGTGGTCCTTCTCATTTTTCAACCGTTCTAGAAAACATTGGTGTTTTCTTGTGAGGCACTAGTACTAACTAGCAAGTGTACAGTTGTTTTGTTAGAAGAAGTTAATTAGCAAGTATATATTGTGAAATGAACTGGTTTAATTTAGTGAAGTAGATGAGTTTTCAAATGCCGTTTGTGTATTTCTTTTATTTGGAAGAAGAGATTAGCTAGGTTAAAGGCTATATTAATTGAACTTTGAAGGTGAGTTTTCAAATATTTCTCTCAAATGTAAATTTCAAAAGCAAAATTGGGTCCTTCAATATCTCTTGACATGTGATTTACACGCCCGAATTTGGATCTTCAAAGTCCATGAAGCTCAAAAATTTGATCACAAACAAACATCAAGCAAACAATGACTTCGTCTAAAGTCTACGATGAATTGAATTTGAGACCCAAAATTCATCATCTAAATCCATGAAGCGAACGACTCATAAATATCTTGATTATTATAGATGCTAGCAACTAAATTATGGATATCGTGAATTACCATTCGACCTTACTTGAACAAGATCTGTTCTATAGGCTCGTACCTCTGTGTCCTTTAGCACTAAGGAGACAGGATCCCAAGTCTGGTGGATGAGATGTGGCCATGTGATCAGAGCGTGATTAACAGTGACGATGGTCACTTGGATCATCTCGATCTGTAGAGGATCGTTCTCAGCCGTTTAGATGGCCTGGGATGGTCACGTGTCTTTCTGACAGACTTCCAATCTTTAATAAATAAAAAAAAGCTTATTCGAAACCATCTACGATAAGGTTTCACAAAACCATAATCACACCGCCCCTAATTAAACATGCCTCATACAACATCCCCTTGTACCTCTACATTCTGAAATCCATTGCGCAAAGACAATAAATTGCATGTAACTTTGATTTGAAAGTTACAGAACAACTTTGCTAACTGTTATTAGCCTAATTAAGTTACCAATCAACCTCGATCGCTCATTGCATGTGACCACCAAAATGTTTGTCCAATGCAATTAAAGTTGCATATATAGAGTAAGCCAAACTCAGACAATAAGAAAGGATTTAAAAAAAGAGAGTTAAACTGAAGTCTATATTGGCATTAACAATACAGACATAATTGAAACTAAGGAACGCGTAGCTAAGTTAGGTAAGGTTTCATATTAAAACCCTAAAACCGTGTCAGTGGGGAGAGATTCCGTACAAGGAAAAAGCGTGTTGATGATACATGAGGCCAGGGGCGGAGCTAGGTGGTACTTTGGGGGGCCTCGGGCCCCCCGAGATTTTTGAAATCACGTACAGAATTCTATCGAGGTTTGAAGAATTATGTATAAAATGAAGATTAGTATAAATACAAACTGTGTGCATTAATGAAGCATAAGATTTGTGTGTAGTCCAGCGGAGCAGAAGTTGATTATTGTCATTCATGGTCTTGGTTCGAAACTTGTTGGCAGCAAATTGTTATTGATATTTTAACCTTCTTAACTGACTGTGATAAAAACTCATATTTAATTGTCTTTAACCTTCTCAATTGAGCGTGACACAGACCATATTAATTTTTTAACCTTCTTAATTGAGCGTGACAAAGACCATATTAATTTTTTTAACCTTGTTAATTTAGTTTTACCTGACTGTGATAAAAAAAACCATATTTAATTGTCTTTAACGTAATTTGTTTTACAAGTCATGTAATTTTGAAGTAGCTTAATTATGTTCTTCAAATTTATATTTATATTTCTAATAATAGTTTTGGCATTTTCTTTATCTCAAATATTACAAATAAATTATAAATGAATACAAATATTAATTATATTTTATGATATATTTTCTTCTACATATTACACTTTCTAAACTTCGGCCCCCCGACGGTCAAATCCTGACTCCGCCCCTGCATGAGGCCGAGATGGAGAAAGTAAATAATTTTATAGGCTTATCATCAGAATCAGAGTTTACTATAATGATTATTTCTCAAGTTAATTAATTAGACAACTGAATGTGCTTACATAATATGAGTTCAAAGGAGTGGGAAGTCATGTGCCATCTTGGCTTTATTAACTTGTTTACTAGGGTGTTCAAACGGTTTGGTTACCATGGTAACCATTTTAACCAGTAGTATTTGGCTAATTTGGTTTGGTTAATTTCGATAATTGGTTTGGTTTGGTTAAAAAATTTAGCTTGTTTGGTTTAGGTGGTCTGGTTTGGTTTCAGGCACTCCTAACCAATCAAACCAAATTAACCAGTTAAGTAATTTTTCATATATCTAATATATATTATATACACATACTTAATACTTTGCATAACCACTCATGAGTCAAATGTAAGATAATTGTAGTTGTTACATGTATTTACGTTAAGGGTTAACTATAATTATGTGGATTGTTATGTGTTGTTCATTATATAAATTGCAAATTGATGCACTAACTGAAAATTTTTCTCACTTAATGATAATGTGGTGTTATATTGGTTATTTTGGTTAACCAATTAACCAAACCGAATAAATTTTAGTTTGGTTAATTTGGTTGTTGTATTAGTTTGGACGGTTTGGTTATGATATTGTATTCCATGGTTAATAGATTTTAGACTTATTTGGTTTGGTTATTACCATGGTAACCATTTGAACACCCCTAGTTGATGTTTACTAGTTGTGACTTGTGGTTGCTGTTGGGGTTTTCTCCACTGGAATCACAACGCAACATGGAACCAATAAATGCAAATGATATTCTGTGCATATATTGGAAAAAGCATTTGAATGAAAGGAATCAAAATGAGTACTTTAACATTTATATAGTTGTTTGATATTAGGTGCGGATAAAAAGTTTGTGTTATGGTTGATGCGCATGTATGAATAATGCAGGTGAGAAAAAACATAAAAACGCTCTTGACGCTTAAACTCAACAAGAAACAAACTCAAAGCCACACGTACATGCCTAGCTTATACTAGGGTTGGGAATTCGGTTATGGTTGTGCGGTTAAACCGCAAACCGCACCGAAACCGCGTGGTTAATGGTTAACCGCAAACCGCAAAAACAACCTTTTCTGCGGTCGCGGTTGGGGAGAATGAGTCTTTTGCGGTTTGCGGTTTAACCGCAACCAAAACCGCAGATGCACCTAACCGCACTACTAACCGCAGGCCATCCCACCACTTCATTTTCGAGACCAATCCATCCAACAAACCCCACCCTAGGCCCACTAGCCCACTGTCGACCCACCCCCTTCCACCACAGTTCTCCTTTCCCCAGCCCTCAGCGTGCGAATTCTTTCTTCAGCCACTTTCCCAAATCGAAAAGAAAGGAAACCCTAGTTCCATGCAACCACGACGACGTGACCTGGGATTCACAGCCAGTGCAACTGCGACGCCGCGACCATTCCAGAGCAGAACCCAGACTCGTCGTCCGGAAATTCCTCTGCCACCGTCCCTTCTCGTCCAGAACCCGCCTTCGTCGCCGTCCCTGCTCGATCAGAGGCGTAGAGCATGCCGCCGTCCTCTCCACATCTGCTCTGCTCGTTGACATCGACGGCGCGACCATTCCAGCGGTTAACTCGGTTAGTGATGCCATTAACCGCGGTGCACCGTTAACCGCATTTTGCGGTTAGCAGTTAACCGCTAACCGTAGCAGGTGCGGTTGCGGTTGGCTAATATGGGCACTTTGCGGTTGCAGTTAACCGCAACCGCACCGTTTCCCACCCCTAGCTTATACAATCTCCCCCTGCTATACTTCTACATTCTGAAATCCATAAACAGCGCCACAATCCAGCTTCTTTTATTTTTGAAATCAGAGACCAGCTGTAACATTCCGAACTTTGGTTCTTTTTGGGCCTAGAACTGTTAAGTTACGTACTTGTAATTTAGGGCTTGAAGCCCATGTACGTGTGGCTGCATGAGGCCCATGCATAGGACTGGTAGGATCGGCCGAAACCCTTAGGGTTGAGGTGTATGGAATATGTATAAATACTTGTATCTCGGAGATTGCCGTACTTGAATAAGAACTTCATACGCTTCGGCTGTGGACTAGTCTTGATCACACCGATCAAGGAAACCACGTAAATACTGTGTCGATTTTCTGTTTCGTAAACTCTAACATGGTATCAGAGCCCGGAATGATGGAGTCTGATCACGTCACTACTCGCTTAATTCGAAGAACTACGCTCTGTGGGAGTTTCAGATTCGTGTCTACATCGAAGGCCAAGGTCTCGCTGGATTCATCGATGGCTCTTCGCAAAGGCCTACTGT